GGAGGCAGCAGGAGGAAGCGCAGGAGGAGTCGGAGGACGGGGACGAGACGAGGAGAGGCCGCCGCAGGAGGCGCGGAGGGGGATCTCCGAGCGCGCCGCGGAGGCGGAGGAGGGCGAGGGCCGCGAGCGCGGCTGCGCCAGCTACTGCCCGCTGCGCCAGGAGTCCAAGGCACGCAGCAGGTGGCGCTGCTGCGGCGCGCGGACGCGGCTTCTGGCTGGCTCAAGCCGTTGGCCGCTGCTGGGCCGGCCTGGGGTGCCGCGGACAGGTGAACGCGCGCGACCCTCGGCCGGGACGCGACGGGCCGGGCGCCCCGCGCCCCGGGGAGGGGAGCTGCACCGGATCTCTTTGGCCCCGGGCTCCTCCAGGTCCTTCTTCCACAAGGGCGTCTTCACGCCTGCGGGCGGGCAGGAGGTCAGTGCAGTCCTGTCGTTCCCAGCGAAAGGCCCAGTACCCCGACTGCTGCCCACAGTCCGACCCCTCAAAAAGGCAGGTGCCTGAAGGACACCAGGTCACGTCTGTGTCCATCGCCCAGCCCAGGGCTTGGCGAGCGGGACGCAGTCAACAAAAGGTAGAGGGGGATTGCCAACCCGGAGGGAATGAAGGTGGGTCGTCCCCACCTTCCTTTCAACTCGCTCTAGGACAGGTACCTGGTCTCCGTGTAGGCTGTCAATGAACACTAATTGCACTGATGGTCATTTTAATAGGTGGTTGTTAGGGTATCTTATTTTCTGAACGGAATTTCCTTCCTCAAAGTGGGTCTTGCCCTAAGGAAGCCCAGTATCCCTGGTGGCGGGTGCGCGTCCAGCGCCTCTGTATGGTTAGAAAAGATGCCCCTTACCGGCGGGCTAAGTAGGAAAAGGCCCGTTTATGCGCAGGCCAATCGGGAAAGGGCTGCCCTTGAACCAATTAGGAAGAAGAGCCTATTCCTCCATCCAGGCTTGACCCCAAGTGCCAGCTGGATTTCGGCCACCACTGTCCCCTCTTGCTGGTGCCTTTGTTCAGGCCCCAGACCCCACAACTCCAGGCAGCAGCTCTGGCAGGCAGGAAGTTCCTGGGCTGACATGGAAACTAAGCTGGCTTCCTTTGGTAGGTGTCCGCCACCCATTCAGCACCCGGTTCCACGTGCCCTGCTGTCTGCCACACCGGAATAGCTAGATTTGTAATGGACAGAGGAGTGAGGATGGCAGGGAGGACACCACACGTGGAGTTTGCTCTGGAAACGTCAAGAAAGTTTCCTGTTGGTCCCTGTCCATCCTGTTCAAAGAGGTTGAGAGCAAAAGAGAACAATAGTAATTGGTATTCTAGCCCATGTATATCAACACCAACTGCATGCACTCGGTGTGCCCAACTCTCTTTATACTTCGTGTCCTTAATCTTCATGGCCCTCTTAGGTAGGTGATGAGGTGGGCAATAGAGGTGCCTCTGAATTTGATCCAGAACATTTGAAACCTTTAAAGAGAAGTTATTTCAAAGATTCTGCCACTTCTTGGTATTGCTCAGGGTGGAGAATCAGGGTCCACTGAACTTTTATTTGGGAAAACACAATAAGAAACCTTCTGGTTGTTATAAGTCAGGCCCAGTGCACAGCTAGAAAGGGGTTCCTGGGACATTTCAGCAGGAGGGGAAGGAGCAAAAGGGACTTTGAGTGCTGGCTATGGAGTTTGGACTTTGTCCCTCAGCACTGGGGAGCTACTGAACATTCTGATGCAGCGACATGTTCAGAGCTGTGTTTTAGGATGTTCCCTCTGATGAGACACAGGGAGCCCCACTTAGGAGTCATTACAGTCCAGGACAGAGAAGACAGAGATCTGAGCGGGAGCAGGTGGAGGTGAGGGAGAGGGCTGTAGCTACATGGATGGGTAATTGAGAGAAGGCTAGGCTTCATGGTGATGGGCTGTTCGTCCAAGCTAGGGCCAAGAGGCCCTGTCCTCCACCCTGCCCCCAGCCCCACTCACCATGCTTATCCATTCTCACCAAGGCTGTGCTGCCCGCTCCCCCTGATCAGGGACTGGGATGTGAGGGGGTCCCCTGAACCCATAGAACTTGGTCAGGTCTCTGGGCCTCTATTGGATCACAAGGGGTGGGGCTAGAACCTCACCCGCCCATAGGGCTCTGCCTAGGAATAACTTCCTTTCCCAGAGCCTCTAGAAACACTCAAAACCCAGGTGTCCCCTAATTTCCCTCCTGGAAAGATATTAAAGGGGAGCAGAAGGAGTCTTTGGCCCCCCAGTAGACTGGCTTCAAATCTCAGCTCTACCACATAAATGTAAAAATTATCTGACCTTCAACACATTATCTCTCTGACCTTCAGTCTCTTCGTCTGTAAGTCAGAGATAGTAGTATAGGACCAGACCTTCTCTAGCCCACAGAAAGCACTCAAAGCACTGTGTTTAGTTGTCTCATTATAGCGTATCCCCGCCTTCTGTCCTATCCCTATCCTTCCTCACCCCACACTCTCCACTCCTCCTATTTTCAGCTCATTGCCTTAGCTCCAGTGAACAAAAGGGAACAGTGCCAAGTCCAGCAGGAAGCAGGGGTCAGGCAAGAGGCAGGTGCAGTTCCTGGATATTGTATATATGTGTGTGAGTGGGGGCAGGAGGGGAATAAAATCATGCAGCTTCAGGAAAACCACTTCCTTTCCTGGTACTAGAGTGGGGTATGTCGGCAGAGACAGGAGTATGCAGATGGGCGCTGGATACAGGCCTAGCTCTGGAAAGCCCTTAGTCTGATGGGATGTGTTGCTGACCTCAAGAAGATCCCAGCCTAAGAGGGAAATATGATATGATCCTCCATCCAAGTCTGAGAGTGGAGGGCAATGGGGCCTCTTCCTTTGGGCAACTTCCAGTTTGCTGGAGGCAAGTTAGTGAGACAGAGAACAAAGAGAGCAGACCCAGCCCCTGAGGAATCTCCTAATCACACGGGGGCAACCTGCCAAGAACTGTGAAATGTTACCCTGCTTGTAGGCTACCAAGTGAACCTGCTGTCATTTCATGGGTGCTGCCAGAAAACATGAGACTCCTGGGTCAGAGACAAAGGACTTCATTACTCGTGGCAGAGAAACATCAACATATTTGTGTCAACTCCCCTTGCCTCAGTGTCCCATGAGTGTGACATGAATGAGTGCCAGTGGATACCTGCATATGCAGTGGTTTGCATTACAAGAGAAACTCTGATTTTAGGGAACCTGAATGTTTTATAACAGGCAGTAAGCAAACCTGCTCTTTGCTCTGGAAGGAGACACAACGTCTATTTTCCAATGTTGTTGGAAACAAAAATTGGAAAAATCCAAAATCCTTGAAAAGTCAGTGCCCTGGAGAATTGTCTCCCAACAAGCCCATTCTCCTTACTGAAAAAGCCACGATGGCTCTTTATTGCAAAATTCAAAAGCTCACGCTGGCCAATTTAAAAAGAAAGAATAGTGAGTGCTCACAGAATGACCAGAAAGCTTGAGAACTAGATAGGAATCGAGGAAAACTAGTGAGTATAAACACAGCCAAGGTTACATTTTAGGAACAATTCAATTCGAAGGCCACTGCTGGGGGCCGCCTATGGTCATTGGCACCCTGAGCAATCTTCTTGAGATACCCCCTAAGATTTAATGCCTCTGGCAGGCACATCTGAACCAAGGAGCCTGTGCTGTGGCTTTTGGGGAGCATTCCACCAAGTCACCACAGCAGGGTGGCCCTCTGGCCTGGTCATTCATCTCATCCTGCCTCCCCAATCCCAGTCTGCCCAGCAGCCCTTTGCTACCCATCCTTAGGATGTGCATTTCCTCTTCTTAGGGCTATTGTGGGTTTTGTGCGACCTTCATAAAAAGCTAGATTGTCTTAACAAAGCCATACCAGCATAAAAGCACACTAGAAATTGATCTCACAGAGTAGTAACACAGTCTTCAGAGAAGACATGAGAGCAAGCAGATAATCCCGCTGGCACCAGGAATGTACACACGCCTCCTGCACTCAGACGCCACCTTGGGAGACCTCTTGAGAGGGGAGAAACCACACTGATAATGAGCGTGGACTCAGATCTCTATCCAAAAGAGACTGTTTGAAACCAGAAGAGAATGAGCTATATTTCACTGGCAAGCTCAAGCATTATTTTCTGCCATTCACAGAAATCATACCCAGAGGACAAGATGAAGTCAGTTATCCAAAGTAAAGCTACAATTGTAATAACTGGGGTAACTAAATGACTAGTATAAAGTAGCCTCATAACTTCTAATATCCAGGTATAATACAGAGATGCAATATTAATTTTAGTTGAGCAATATATATAATTTATAAGAAAAAATATCCAAGCCAGGCATGGTGGTGCAAACTTTTAGTCCCAGCTACTGGGGAGGCTGAGGCAGGAGTACTGTTTGGGGCCAGGAGTTCAAGGCTGCAGTTTGGTGTGATTGGGTCTAAGACTAGCCACTTCCTCTAGCACGGGCAACACAGTGAGACTCCATCTCTAAACAATTTTTTTTTTTTGAGACAGAGTCTCGCTTTGTTGTCCAGGCTAGAGTGAGTGCCATGGCATCAGCCTAGCTCACAGCAACCTCAAACTCCTGGGCTCAAGCAATCCTGCTGCCCCAGCCTCCCGAGTAGCTGGGGACTACAGGCATGCCACCACCGATGCCTGGCTAATTTTTTCTTATAATATTAGCTGGCCAATAATTTCTTTCTGATTTATAGTAGAGACAGGTCTCGCTTTTGTCAGGCTTTTGACTCCTGACCTCGAGCAATTCTGCCCCGCCTCAGCCTCCCAGAGTGCTAGGATTACAGGCATGAGCCACTGCGCCCGGCCTAAACAATTTTTTTAAAAAAGAAAAAATATCCAATAAGATGGTATGTAAGTGCTACTCAATTGGGAATATCTGCAACAACATCTCACATTTGTATAGCGAAAAGGAATGGGGCCTCTTAAACTTTGAGCATCATGTCAATTAAGATGTAGTTGGCTGGTCAAATATCAGAATGCCCGACTAATAATGGCTCAAACTTTATAAAATATATTAGTTTACTGAATAAGTCTGAAGATAAGGGGCTCCAGGATTGGTTCAGTATCTTAATGGAGTTATTAAGGGCCCTGCCTATTCTCATCTTTCCTCTCTGCCTTCCTTGTTTCCTTTTGGTTACAAAACGGCTGCTGCAGCTCCAAACATTGTAGCCTCATGCAACTATGACTAGAGCAGGAAGAAAACGGATGCGTGGCAGAGATGAAGCTGTCCAGCAGACTTCTCTTTGAATCTCATTGGCCAGAACTAGGGCACAAACTTATTCCTACACCGACCAATGGCAAAAAGGGGGTTGCCAAGATTGGCCTAGACTAATTGGTTGTAACTGGTACCTTTGATCAAGTAGGACTCGTGGAGCATAGTTATAAAACAATTTCAGTTTTGCCTCCTAAAAGTCCTTTTAAACCTGCTCAAGGGTTTCCCTTGTCCCTGGAGGATAACTCAGGCAGGCCCTAGGACATGTTCTGGGCACTCTCAGGAAATAGAAAACCCTGTGGTCACTGAAAGTTGATATACGCGACATCTTTCCTTTCCCCCCGGCTATGGTCTGCCATGGCCAGTGGCCTGCAAATAGGATGGTGTGGGGGACAGAAGACATGGTCCCTCTATCCTCATTCCCTGCTTCTCCTTCTTCCCCAGATACCCAAACACTGGTCTTCCCTTGCCCCAGTCCAGAAAGTTCCTTGGATCCAGGATACACTGAATTCTGGAGTTGTTTTTTCCTCTGCAATGCTCAACATGCAGGACGGTCCACTTCCAGCTTCCCCTCCGCGGAGGCCTGTTCCCCTTCCAGGAGGCCCCACTGAACAAGATCTTAGACAGGCTCTCTCCATCTTCCCCCTGACGAGTGGTCCACAGGAAACACTCCCACTATGTTCTCTGTTCGAACTGTGAGAGGACCCGCTGATTTCAGTATAGCTGTTCTTCTTTGTCCCTGCTGTGGAGAAGTTAACCAGCCTGTGTCTCACATTTGATTTTCCATGTCAGACTTCAGTCCACCGAGTCCCCTTAACCACAAGGGACATGTGTCCAGTTCTTTGAGTGGTCCCATTGAAGCCCATATTGCTGCTTCTCCCCTTGTTGGGGTCAGGGAAGAGGGGAGAGATGATGACATATACTGGTTTTCTATTGCTGCTCCAACAAATTTTCACAAACTTCTTGGCTTATAACAACACAAAGTTATTCTTTTGCAGTTCTGCAGGTCAGAAGTCTGGAATGAATCCTATGGAGCTAAAATCAAGGTATCAGCAGGGCTGGTTCCTTCTGGAGTTTCCAGAAAAGAATATGTTCCTTGCTTCTTGCAGCTTCTGAAGACAGCTGGCATTTCTGGCTTGTGGCCCCATCACTCTAATCTCTGCTTCGGTTGTCATATCTCCAATTTCTGTAGTCACATCTGCCTCTGCCTCACAGTTGTGATTAGAGTTAGGGCCCGTTCTGACAATCTGGATAATCTCCCCATCTCAGTATCCTTAATTCTATCTGCAAAATCCCTTTTGCCCTGTGAGGTGACAGTCACAGGTTCTGGGGGTTAGGAAGTGGCTATCTTTTGAGTCCATTATTGGGCCTACCACAAGACCCACAGCACAGCTGCAACATTCTCTAGATAAATCTTTACTAATCCTCTCCAAATCTGTAACCGCTCAACTCTTCATTTACTCTAGGTGGGAGAGAAGTCTGAGAATCAAGGATAATTCCAAGATAAATTCTGCATATAGTCTTTCTTCCTTCTCTGGCTTGTTGCATCTATGGTGTCATGGAGCCTTGGCAGAAACTTTGATTTTAACTCTGCTATGATTGACTTAGACCTATCGAGGTTCTCCCTCTGGGGCTGGGCCCACATTCCCTAATTTCAAGGAAGCACTACCTGTGACCTGAACAAAACCAGGATTCTATTAGCAAGAAAGAAAAGGAAATGGCTCTTCTGTACGGGGAGCCAGCCTCCAAGATGTCTCTCAGTGATCCTTGTTTCCTGGCATTCATGCACCCACGTGAAATAAGGCGGATCTGGGTAACCAACAGGATATTGTAGAAATAATAATGTG